TGACACACGTCCCCACACGTCCCCCCCCCCAGTGAAATTTGCGTCCTTCAACCTGTAACCTGCTTATGGTGCTTGGCCCCTGGGATGGTCACCTGGCGTTTACCAGGAGGGCCTTTGTCCTGGTGGAACCAACGGTCAGACAGTACGCAGGCCCTGTGTGGGACTTATCTTAAGTTCCACAGGGCCTGCCAAGCAGAGCTCTTCTCTTTAGCTTTTCATTAGTCTGGACTGTTTATGTAGGCTGCCTTTTGGTTTTTTAAAAATTTACTGCCCAAATAATTACAAACAGTTAAAATTATGTATATTAGTTTTATTTGTATTATTTTTAATTTGTCAGTTAATATTTTAGCTGTTGTTAGCTACCTCGATACCATGTGGTGGCAAGAGGTGGGCATATAAATTTGATGATTATGATGATTATGATGACAGGAAGAGGGAATCTGCAAGTGAGCAGATAGATGCTTAATCCCCTTTCCTCACTTTCTGCTTCCTGGCTCTGAATCTTTTCTTTTAGACATGTTTCTCCTTGCAGGTTTCCAGATACACATTTATTTTTGAAAATGTGTCTGGATCTCACAGAAGGAAAAGCAGTTTATGGGAGATATCTGAGGAGAAGTAGCAACTGAGGGAAAAGGTTAAGCACATATACTTAGCTGTTTCTCTGCTCAGAAATTATCTGCTCCTAAAGTGACTTCTCTGTGGGTGAAGGGATTTCTGTTCAGTTATATGTATTTATTAACATTATTTATAGTCCGTAGTCAGTACAATCAACAAAAAGGGGCATGCGATAAACAATGGATTAGGATTGTAGAAGTCTGGAAACCACCAGAAGGAACGGAAGAAGCATATTAACATGAGACATTAGGCAGGGGTCCCCAACATGGTACCCACTGACACCTCTTCTGGTGTCTGCCAAGTGTTTTTAAGAAGTGGGTGGAGTCAGGTAGGGATTTTGCCCAGCAGGGCTTCTGAATGACTACTGAAGATTTGATTGGCTGTGCAGATTTTTTAAAAATGTTGCTTTGGCAGCAACTGCCACCACAGCACAGGGCTCTACACTGTGTTACTGAAGTTAAGCTGTGGCAACCATTTTTGTGGCTGGCTCTGCCTCCTGCAGCATTTTGTGGCAGCCATTTTGTTGCTGTGCCCCCTATGCCATGTCAGAATTCCAAATGGTCCTGCAGCCTCAAAACGTTTGGGGACCCCTGCATTAGGCAGTGCAAAAATTAACAATAGAATCAGCCTTATAGTAAGCTATCTGGAACAGTAGAGTCCACAGTCCCTAATCATTTATCCAAGTAAGTCTGAAAACCCATTTTGTACAATGCAACTCCATTACCTGCGCAAAAAAGCTCCCTGAATAGTTCAGTTCTGCATAGTTCGCAGAAAGCCAGCAGAGGGAACATTCCTGACCTCAAGCAGGCCATTCCATAAGGTGGGAGCCACAATGGAGAAAGCCATGTGTACGAGCAGTTGTCAATTTTGCCCATTTGCAGGCTGGCACCCACAAAAGCCCCTGCTGACATGAGCGAAGCTGTTGTGGCAGAGCACAGGGGGACAGGCAGTCTTGCAAATAAGAGGGACCAAGACCATGAAGGGCTCTGTATGAGATAGCAGGTATGCTCTGTCTAGCTCTCAATGAATTCTGGAAGTTGTTTCTAAATGGCTTCTTCAGAGTATAGACTCTATGGTATTATACCTCATTAATGTCCCTCTCCCAGCTTCCCCAGGCTCCATCCCCCAAGTCTCCAGGAATTTCCCAACATGGAGCTGGCAACCCTAGGAGAGACCAACGTACAGTGCATTACAGTAGTCTGGTTTATATGTCATTGAGGCATAGATTCAGGTGGCCAGATCAGTTTTATCAAGGTAAGGGGCCATCTTACGGGCTAGGCTGAGTTGATAGAAAGCATTGTTTGCGGCTGCATTAACTTGCTCCAGTATCATCGCAAGGCTTTTAACTGAGTTGGCAAGGGTCGGTTGACCGCCATCAAAAGCGGGGAGAACAACGACCTCCAAGATCTCCAGCCAGCATTACCTGTCTTTTCCAGGGTTTAGTTTCAATTTGTTCACTTTTAAGCCACTTAACTAGAGTTACAGGAAGAGCATGTAACGTGTTATGAATGGTGGTGATGGTAGAAAGTGCTACCCAGTCACAGCTGACTTATGGGGAGTCCCCCCCCCCGAAAGGGTTTTCAAGGCAAGAGGTTTCTCCGAGGTGGTTTTTGCCATCGCCAGCCTCTAACCAGGGCCCACCCAAGTCAGGGCACCTATTAAAGGGGGTTGCTGCATTTGTAAAAAGAAGTTTATTTGCTGGAATGGGTAATCAGGTCCCCAGCTGCAATCCAGGAGAAGCACCGCATGTTTAATGTCATTAGCGACCTGGGAAACCCAGGGCAGAGGCAGAGAAGCATCTGCCAGTTCTCACCTTTTCTCTGGTGGAAAGCCTTGCTCTAGCCTTGCAGACCTCAAGGGCCAAAGGTGTCCCAACATCAAATGGCCGGGGAGGCGGGGACTAAGGCCAGCAAGTTGCTCATCTATACCAGAAAATATTTTTAGTGAATAGTGAAGTTGCCACTGGTTCTAATGGTGAGACTCCCAGTCAACACTCAAGCAAAAGGGATATGCAGTCACGGGCCCCTTTGTATAGTTCTGGAACGACTGTGCGAGGGGGCCTCGGGAAGCTTATCTAGCAGAGTGCCAGGGTTTGCCTGCCCATCCATCTGCAGACAAGGACCTGAGGATGTTCAGAGTGTAAGCTGCCCCTAGCGATCTGTGTTTTTATGTTTGTTTCTTTAGTGGATCCTGCTAAATTTCCCTTTTCCTGCAAGGTCCTTCCTAACCATCTGTGCTTCTTGCTTAAACCAAGGCTTAGTGAAAAATAAAGCTCTTTTAGCATCCCAAAGTGACTGATCCTTAGGGGTGAGGGGACCCTTTCTGGAAGACTCTCATGCATGCCCTCTACAACTACCTTCGCTACTCAACGTTCCTTAATACAGAAAAGTCCTGATGGACAGCTCCCTCCTGAGTTGAGGAGGATGGGATGGAGAGAGAAGTGGGGAGCAAGTACCCCACAGAGGGTGAGCTAGATGTCCTTCCTCTCTCACGCATCTGCAAACCCACAGGAAAGAGGTGAGCCAGAGACTGTCTCTCCCAGTAGTATTACTTGGAAATCTGTAACTGGATACTATCTGGTGGTAGCACGCAACCAGATTTTGGTCTCCTTTGAAGGGAAGGAGTCCAAACCATTAACAGTTTCCTACAAATCCCACCCACTCAGTAGCCTGGGTGGAGTGCAGAGCACCTGTGGGCAGGCAAAGAGGGTGAGCCAAGTGCTAAGGGTATGCGGATCGTGACAACATGCAGTTAGGCCACAGCTCACATCTTCCTTTGAATCTCCCTGGTGCAAAAGTACCAAGTGAACTGATAAGTATATTTATTATACATCAGATAACCCACATTAAGCACTAAAGTATGCTTTGGAGGCAGAAAATCCGTAGAAGACCAGCCTTAGCAAATCCAATGGATCTCAATGCCACCAATATGCTGACACCCAGCTAAATCTCTCTAACTAGAAACCCCCCCCCAATCCCACCCTTCATCTTCAGCTGTTTCTAGTATCTGCTTGTTTTTCTTGAATGTGTCACTGCTCTTTCAAAGTCAGTATGACTAAATGTCAAACTCATCTTTCATACCAGGCCCCTCTCTCAGTTCTCCCTGTCAGCTGACATCACCATTCATCCTGTTGAGCAGGTGCAAACATTTGGCTTTATTGAGCATTTTAAAAATGCTGAATACTTGCAGCAGATCTTTGTTATACAGATATTCCTGTTATATTTATATTAGAACATATTTTTGCAGTTTGGGAACAAAACCATGATTGATATTTGACAACCAGGTTATCTTGACTGATTTCTAAATTGTCATATGGTGCCCCTTCAGAGCTTCATGGTGGCTGGCTGCCATTGTCATCCGTTTCAATAAGCTAAATTTTTGTACTCTGTAATCCAAGTTACTGTGCATTACACTAAACAGTTGTTGTTGAATTAACTACCTCTGTGACAGGCGGGAGCGTTTCCAAAGGATCAAGAACAAAGAGTCTCTAATATCAGTCACCCCTCAGCATTCCCATGCAAAGATTTCAGCTCAGTTTCTTCTGCAGCTTTTATAAATCTCAGAGATTACCGTTTTAGTATCTTGATGCATGGAGGCCATTTTGAGTCATCTTATAACACATCTGGGTTATCATAAGCACATTATGCTATCATAACATTATGTTATCGTTTTTATAGTCATCTTGTAAGTTTTCTTTATTTCAGACATAGTTCCCTTAAAGGAAAGCTAGTAAAGATGAAAGAAATTTTCTAAAAGAGCACAGTTTATTGTATGAAATGTCCATATGAGCATTTGTGGGCTAGGATGGGGTGAGAAGGACAGACAATACAAAAAAGCAAAAGAAGGGTAGTAAGAGAGGAGGATGCAGAGACTTATGGACAGGGAAAAGAGGAGGAGACTGGTGAGGTACAGAATCCTGCTGTGGCAAGACAGGATACAGTAAATGCTACTGAGCGCAAAGACAAGAACAGAGTATTTGAGACGCATGGGGCAGAGAGGCCTGTGGGGTCAGAATGGAGAAAAGACAGGTAATAAAAAGTGTAGAGGCCTTTGACAGTAGAGAGAAAGAGAGAAGCTGAGTGATCCATTGCAGTGCAGAGGAAGAAACAGTAGCTATGAGATGCAAAGGGGGAAAAGACGTCAGCGGAGCACAAAACACTGTTAAAGTTGTAATAAATGTACTTTCCTGTGGTTCAGCCCACTAGTTAGTAAAAAAGAAGAAGTAAAAGTGGTCTCCCAATGTCATCTCTGTAACCTGTAATAGTTCTATTGTTCTACATTTTATTACACTAATGAATTGCTGCTTTTAATTTCTGGAAAACTTCCAAGACAGGCTGACAAGCCAACCATATTTCAATATTCAAATGAGCATATGCGCACACACACAAGCACAGATAAATCTTTATTGCCTTAGCTTTATGTTCTTCAAAAATGAGCATGGGGTATTTTATGCTGTAGCTTTACATCTTTTTATGTACAATGTTACAACTGTATTAGTAATAAATGACATTTGTGGCATCTTATAACTCAACATGGTGTATTTATAAAATGAATTTATCAAAATACACTTTGCACTAGATAATAAAGTCCAGCCAAACCAACCTACCCAACGTTAAAATTAACCTTGGTAGATTTAAATGTGATATACAGTCCATTATGACTATGTTTGTTCTTTTATCCCCCCCCCCCAACACACACACAATGCTCATCTTTTTGGGCTAAGGAAACCTTATTTTTCCAGCTGTGATTTCTCATTCCACATCATCTTCAGCCAAGCACTGTGCGCTTACAAGTCTCTGCAAAAGAAAATATTGACACAACTGAAGAATAATATTATGAACGGTATTACTGAAAGGAGTTACAATTGTTTCAAGATTTAGATGCCCCCCACCAATAAAATCATCACTGCTTCAAAAGCAGCAAGCAAATAAGTGAAAAATATCCCAAAAGCTAACGAATCCAGTTGTACAAGACTTGAGTGAGCCAACATTGACTAAATATTACTTATCTGGGATCCAAAACAAGCATCCCTAGTTTTATCACTGCTATTAATGTTTACCATGAAATTAATAAAATTAAAACCAACAAGAAATTGGAATAATGTACATTACTTTTATGTTAAGCCAGACATGAAGACACAACCAACACTTCTGCCCTTTGGCTGAAATGAGCCAGGACTGGAGGTTTCCTGTACACAGTGGAGAATTTCCTAGATTCTGACAACTGCAACAGCAAACTCCATGCTTTTATTCATTCTAGCCTTTGTCATTGCAGAGATATTCAAAATTTTACAGGCAGGGGCTTCAGCACAGGAACCTCATTCTTCTTACAAGGCTTTTGACTACAATTATTCCTAACAGCTGCTGCTCGTGCTGCCTTAAAATAAGTTTTAAATCCCCAGTTTTCAAGAGCAGTTTGTCTGAATGTAGAATTGCTAACTGGCAAACACTTGACACTGACAATGCAGAGTCAGAAGTTATAGGCAACATTCAAATACATATACTCTAAGAATAACATTCTAGAAGTAGTCACAAGTGTGGGAAAAAACCCCACACCAATTATTTGGAACAAAACAATGTCTGCAGTTACTGATTGTGTCTGCTCACCATATCCCAGTATGACATACTTAGGCAAAGACTAAGGACTGAGAAAACAGATTATACGGCTATCAAAAAGCACAAATTCAGGGAGGAATTTCCCCTCAATCATACCCTCCTTAGTGTTTTGATAATGGTAAGGGACATTTAAAGCCATAACAAAGGGTTTGCCACTAGGTATTGCTTCATATAAAAATGAGACAGAAGGAAAAGGTGTCTTGTTAAAGAAATAACAAGGTTAGAATACAAGCAAACTAAATCAGTTGGATAAAATAAATAGGAAGCTACAGCTGACGTAACTGAATTTAAAAGGCATTCAGAGTACAGCAATGACTAGCTATTATAAAGCAAAAATAATTTGAAAAGAGAAGCCAATAAACTGCAGGCATTTCAATCTGCAAAAACCAAAAATTATGTCAATCAAAATTTCGGGAGTGATTTACCAAAACTGTTAGCCAGTAAAGAGGAGTTTTTGGAGGGGATTTTGGTGGCAGGTTATATGGGACAGAAGATATTTAGAATGCAATCCTCCCATCCCCACTCAGTTTACAAAATTAATGCTCAATTTAGTTTAGCAAATTCAATATTTAGGAAATGAACATGCAAAATTGTGGTCATGCATCTCAGAAGGCATGGAAGGGCACAGAACTTAAAAGATGTACCCAGATGTCCTAGTTTGCACAAAACTCAGAAATCAATATGGCTTGAAATAATCAAAAGTTGTTATTCCTGTTCAAAATATTGTAACAGTAGATTCAAGATAATTAAAAAGCTGGCAAAAATGATACTGTGATTTACTAGGGCAAGGAAATAGATCCATGAATCAAACCTCCTTCAATGCAACAATAAAAGAAACCCTCTCCCAAGTTTTGAACTATATTAGGGACCAGAACAGATTCATCCATTAATCTGGTGATGGAGTACGGGTATGGCAAACTCTTGGTGTAAAACAGATTAAAGCAATCACTAAATTCCTTAATTCCCTTTCATAGATTGTAAGGGGAGGGGGGGGGAACCCTGATTCCATGGTTAATTCCATCACAACTGCTGATATCATGGGAAGCATAATTATCCTGATTGCATTGTTTTATATTCTGTAATCTGCCTTGAGCCTGAGTGAGAAAGGTGGTCTATAAAGTAAAATTAGCCCTGGAATCTCTTTATAAGATACATCAGCTGAAAAAGCACTGATAACTACAAATGCTACCTGGGCATCCAAGAGTACATACAAATTGCACAAATTTTTGCTGAAGGGAGTGAAGCCCATCTAGAACCAAACAACCAATTCCTACATAAATCAGGCCACTCGTTATTAACATCCATCTTATCTGGAGTGTGCTTCATGTTTTTTCACCCTCGTTCATCCACTACTGACTCCAGACATCTGTTCCACTGCCTCACATGGTTCAGATGCACATGAGAAATAGAGCTGACTAACATCAGCAACATACCTCACCCCAACTCTGAACCTCTCCCAACTATTTCATGTAAGTGTGAAAGAGCATGTGAAACAAGTTGCAATACTATGACACCATCAACCCTGGTCCTGTGGGGTATCCAAAGCAGCTAAGGAACTGACAAAAATCAAATGGATTACAAACGTCCCACCTATTTCATAGTAAAAGTTAATTAAGGGCAATTAAGGCAGTTTTCATCTCAAAACCAGACCTGAAAAGCTAGCATCTTGACCGGTTTCAAGAAGTAGTTTCTGAAGCTGGATAGCCAGGTGTGTCATCACCTTGATCAAGTGAGGTAAATTTGAGACAGGCTAGTAATTAATTCAGGTCCAGGGGATCAAGCTGAAACATGAGGCTAGGAATCACTATGGTTCAGTATTTTCAGGTGACTAATTTTGTGTCACATTTATTGGTTTAACACTGTGGCTGAGACTGGGAGACAACTAAAGGAAAATGCTATAGGGAAAGGCCTGCTTTCAATTGTATAAAATTTGCATTAAGTGATCTTTAAGCGGTTATGTGTTAGAGATTCAGGATTTTCCTTGATAAACTCTAAATGGAGTAACATCTCAAACTTAGTTAAACCATGTTGTGTACATTTGGTGAACTGGTAGACATTATATATTTGGACTTCTAAATGGCTTCTGACAAGGTCCCATCCCAACAAATACTGACAAAATTTAGCAGTCAAGGGATAAAAGGATAGGTTACTCTTATGGATTAAAAACTGGTTAAACAACAAGCAGCAGTGCAGGAACAAACTGACAGTTCTTACAACAAAGTGGTGCTCCACAGAGACTGTTATTGGGATTGGTGCTACTTCATAAATGATTTGGACTTGAAAGTTAGCAGTGTACTGGCCATGTATCAAATTAATCAGTGTGATGAAAACCAGAGCAGATTGTGAAGAGCTCCAAAAGGATCCCTCTAAATTGGGTACTTGGATGGCAATGTTGCAAGTGCGGTTTTAATGTAGGTAAGGGCAAGGCAATGCACACTGGAACAAAAATCCGAATGTTAAATGAATGCTGATAGGGTCTGACCTGGCAGAGGCAGAGAGAGAAAGAGATCTTGGCATTGTAATGGTAAGTTAATGAAACTGCTGGTGCACATGCAGCAGTGCTGAAAAAGGAAAACTCAATGCTGGGGATTATTAGGACAGAGAATAATTGGCCAATATAAGCATTGTCGCTGTACAGAGCTGTGGTACGGCCACACTTGGAATACGGTGTGCCATTCTGGTCAGCATATCTCAAAAAGGATACTACAAAGCTAGAAACATTGCAGAAGAGGGACATTAAGATGGTTGGAGGGTTGGAGCAAAGGCTAAAGACTGAGGAGGGGGGGGGGACTGACAGGTTTATAAAATTATGTATGGGGCAGATGAAGTGGAGATAAATAACTTCTTCTCCCTCTCTGAATACTAGCGCTCTGGGACATCCAGTTAAACTGATGTATAATACATTCAGAACAGTCAAAGAGAAGTACTTCTTCAGTCGTCAGATATTTAAATTGTATAATATACTACCAGAAGATGTAGTCATATGATCACTAGCAAGTATGACTACAGGGAACTCCACATCCAAAAGCAGGAAATTTCTGAGCATCAGTGCTAGGACGTATCATCAGGAGAAGACCTTGGTCTTTATGTTTGGCTCGTTGTCTATCTAAGGCAACAGGCTGGCCACTGAGTGAAACAGGTTACTGGATTGAATGGGGTTGTACTCCCCTCAAAGGAATAAATCTGTAGTCTGGGGGTGCTCTTGGGACTCAGACCTACTGCTGGATAAGCAAGTGACAGCTGTGGCCAGGAGTGCCTTTTACCAACTTCAACTGGCTAGCCACCTGTGGCCTTCCCTGGGCAAAAAAGACCTGGCCACTGTGGTGCATGCCCTGGCTACATTTAGATTAGATTACTGCAAAGCACCCTATGTGGGGCTGCCCTTGAGAAGTGTACAATTGGTGTTGAATGCTGCACCCAGGATACTGACTGGAGTGGACTGCAGAGGCCATATCACTCCGGTCTTGGCCCATCTACACTTGCTCCCAATTTGCTTCTGGAAATAATTCAAGGTACTGGTGTTGACCTTCAAAGCCTTATATATGTCTTGGAACGGACACACCTGATGGGACTGGCTACTCCCTTATGAACCTGCTCAACCACTATGGTTCTCTTTGGAGGCCATACTTCACATGCCCCCACTTTCTGAGATTAGGTGGGTGGCAAACAGGGAGAGGGCCTTCTCCTTTATGGCACCAAAATTCTGGAATGCTCTCCCCAGGAAGATTAGTCTATCCCTTTCTGTTGCCATCTTCTGCCAGTGGACGAAGACTTTTTTTGTTTTGTTTGGCAATCCCTCAGTGACCTATCCTTCCTGACCAATGTTTCAATTGCTGTTTTGGTGTCTTTGTACATATTTTAACTTGTTTTAATGATGTGTGCTGTGGGGGTTGATTTTAATGGTTTAAAATATGATTTCGTCACATGTTTTAAATTGTCAGCCACCTTGGTGGCCTTTGTGAGGGCAGAAAAGCAGGCTATAAGTTTCGTAAACAAAACAAAATAAAAATAAGATGGACCACTGGTCTGATCCCCCAAGGCACTTCTATTGTTAACAGACTCATTTTTCTTCTTTATTGAAAGGTACCAGATCTCAATTTATTTCACCTTGTGATGGGATTATAGTAATGTCCCATGAGCTTTGCGCACATGATAATTATTTCGATAGAGCAATTTCATTACTTGTTTATAACATCCTCAAAAGGGTAAAGCTACATATCACTGTAAGGTTCACACTCCCCTTGAGAGCATAGTGCAATGATCCTCCTCTTACATCTGTTACCCAGTACTGACAGTATAACACCCAAAACAGTTTGAGAGCCTCAGATGCTGCCACAGACAACCTCTTTTGAACCCAAAGAACTACATTTCTGCTTGAACATAAGTGCTTGGAAAACCCGCCCAACCTTGGAAAATGTCACCACACTATAAGAAAGCCACCAATTCCCTCATTTCAGTTAGCATACCTTCTTCATTTTGATGTTAGAGGTGTCTATCAACAAAACAAATTAGGTACTATTCTTTAAATGCTACCACACATTAAAATGAATCCATAGGTCTAGAACCCCACTTAACTCACTAACTATACATAGGACCAGGCTATAAATAATCTGATAGTTAACTAAATCAACTTTAGATGAAAAAATTAAAGTTATTTTTCATACCTGACTAATTGTTGGGAGCTTAGTAAGAAGCATCTGGAAAACCGGTGGTGGAAGAGTCTGCTGTAGAACTTGTAACAACTGCTGTGGTTGTGCACACACAGCAATGGCATTTGTCAAGTGGTCAACGCCTTTTTCATATTCACCTGTATAAAAACTAAACATTACTACACTGGCATTGGCTTTGAAAAGCATATTACAACCCTACTCCCCCATTCAAAATTGTCCCTAGTGTCTTTCTTCACAAGTTTTAACAAATTTATTGTGTATATACACACACACATATCTGTATCTATCTGTCTACACACACGCACGCGCAGGTGGAATTGTTTCCTGGCATCTTCCCTGGTTTACTGGGGAAGCGACTGCAAAGTTAACTGCTAGTAGCCAGGGTAACCTTGTTCCACTTTGTTAACTAAGTCATGTGGGGATAAAGTAAGACGTCCTATGGCTAATATTAGCTTTCAAATTGTCTTTCACAGGCTTTGAGAAATTGCTTGCTCAAGAAGAATCCTGTGAAATTCTACATGGGTTTTCTCACTGTTTAATTTATACACTGGATTTTTAAAATTAGCTTTGGGGTTGGCTCTGCATTTCTTTGAACAAGTCCTCAGCAGCTACAGTCTCTGGCCTGGGACAGTGGTCAAGCAGCTGAAGGTAACAGGCTAAAGCCAAATCCAGGCAAGACAGAGGCAATACTAGCCCATTAAGATGGAGGTTTTGGAAGGCAATACCTTGTCCAACCCATATGAAGCTGATAAATTTCAGGAAATAGCACAAAAGTCTTACTAGATTCTGCTTTTTTGTTGGAAGATCAGGCTGAAACGGCTGCGATAAGCACATTTGTTTCCAGTTACACTTAGTGAAGAAAGTGGCTTCCTAACTAGATTCTATCACATAGTACCATTTCTCTATAACTTCAAGAGTGGGCAATTACAATATGCACTATGTGAGGTTTTCCTTAAAGGAAATCTAAAAGTGGGTTGGTACAGTATGTAGCCATTCATTTACTCACTTGGAGTAATGGTCATACTACCCCAACTATTCTCTGGTTTTTGGTGCCCATGTCACACACACATGAACACACACAAAGCTGCCTTATACTGAGTCAGACCATTGATCCATCAAAGTCAGTATTGTCTACTCAGACTGGCAGCAGCTCTACAGGGTCTCAGACTGAGGTGGTACTTGTTTCCATGGCCAAATTCAAGGTGGTGGTTTTTATCTACAAAGCCTTACACAGCCTAGGACTCACATATATGAAGGACTGTCTCTCCCAGCATGATCCCATGTACCACCATTTAGATCTTCCCAGTCTTTCGCTTCTGTGCCCAAGTCCTGAAGTCGGATCTGACTTGGCTCAAGAACTTTTCTTCTTGGGCACAGCACCTGCTCTTTGGAACAGCCTCCCAGAGAATGCAGGTATTCCTAGTCTGGAACAGTTTCAGCAGTTCAAAGAGTTGTTTGAGGGCAACTGAACCGAATCAAATATAGGCTTGTGCACATCAGTGCATGTGACAGAGACACGTTCAGGGCCATTTCATGAATTTTTGGTCTTTGTACCTATTTTTTAATGTGTTTGTGAGGTTTGTTTCCCACCTGCACTTGTCTTTTACTTTGAGCCACCATTTAACAGGGGAAAGGAGAAGTATACATATTTTAATACATAACTATAGTTTAAAGGCAAATCCTGTTACTTTAAAAGAAATACACCAATAAAGCGACTTTATTCAGGAAAATGGCATTAGTATTACCACAGAGTTCTCACACAAAAGCTGACCTTTCTAACGTTGTGTGCTCCAAGAGGAACAATTTACAAGTTGTATCATTTCGAATAGTCCAGAAAGTGTAGACATATGCATCCTACCACTCTGCTCAGTGAAGTCACACATCAACACACATGAAGCTGTCTTAATCAGACCTTTCAGAATCACAGAGTTGGAAGGGACCACCAGGGTCATTTAGTCCAACCCCTGCACAATGCAGGAAATTCACAAATACCTCCCCCTCCCCAAACACTCCCAGTGATCGCTGCTCCATGCCCAGATGATGACAAAAAGCCTCCAGGATCTCCAGCCAAACTGGCCTGGAGAAAAATTGGTTCCTGACCCCAATGTGGTGATCAGCATTTCCCTGGGCATGTAAAAAAGGGCCACAAGAACGAAGCACTGATGCAACCCTTCCTGCCCTCCCTCTCATGATCTACCCAAGTTCACAGAATCAGCATTGCTGTCAGATGTCCATCTAGCCTCTGTTTGAAAACCTCCAAAGAAAGAGAGCCCACCACCTCCTGAGGAAGCCTGTTCCACTGAGGAACCGCTCTAACTGTCAAGGAGTTCTTCTTAACATTTAGCCGAAACCGCTTTTGATTTAATTTCAACCCACTGGTTCTGGTCCAACCTTCTGGGGCAACAGAAAACAACTCCGTGCCATCCTCTATATGACAGCCCTTCAAGTACTTGAAGATCGTTATCATATCACCACTCAATCATCTCCTCTCCAGGCTAAACATACCCAGCTCCTTCAACCTTTCTCCAGACCCCTCACCATCTTCATTGCCCTCCTCTGGACACGTTCCAGCTTGTCTATATCCTTCTTAAATTGTGGTGCCCAAAACTGAACACAATACTCTATGTGAGGTCTAACCAGAGCAGAGTAAAGTGATACCATCACTTACCTTTGGTCCATCAAGATCAGTATTGTCTGCTCAGACTAGCAGCAGCTCTCCAGGATCTTAGGCAGAGATCTTTCATATCACCGACTGACAGATCCTTTAACTGGAAATGACAGGGATTGAACCTGGGACCTTCTGCATGCCAAGCAGATGTTCTACCACTGAGCCACAGCCTCTCCCTAAAATCTAAAGCCTTCCTCCAATCTAAGTGGCTTTTCTACTTTGCTGAGCAGAGTGGCTGGATACATGCTACAAATTGCTCTAGATACAGCTTATAGTAACTTGGAAACTGATTTAAAGTAGATTTTTAAAAACGTCATTACGTTTTCCAGGGCACTCATTTAAAGAACTAATATGGTTTATACTTCAACCCATTTTTTGTTCCCCTGTTTTAGAGAGATTTGCAACAACCTTGCGCAAGTAATTCCTCTCCAAGTTGTATCTCTTCAAGGAAGAACTTCTGAATTGCTTCAGCATCTTTTAGATCAGGTAACTGTAAAAAGAAAAAGACATTTGTCCTATCAGCCATTCAAAGGTCACGCCAATCCCTACCCACGATTTTAAATGCAGTACTGAGAAATATTTATATATATTGATAGGGAGCTCTTCATTTTATAAATCAAGAAGAAAAAGTTAATTAGAAAAAATATATTTTATGGTAAGAGTCAAATGGTTAAATATAGACAATGAGACCAAAATGCTCCAGATCATTTTGATCCGCTTATAAAAACTCAAAATTGCCACAGAAATGAACTACAACTAGCAAGACTTCATTCCCCCCTTCCCCAAAACCCCACCATAGAAATAACTCAAAGTACTTACCGGAAAAGTTGCAAACAGAGTACATTCAACCGAAGAAAGTAAAGTGTAAGAAAATTCTACATCCCATGTATTATACAGCACTGTAATAATTAAACTATGACAGAATAGTAATACCTTTGAAAGTCCTGCTCTTTCTTTGGCAAGCTTCTGTTTCTTCCTTCCTGTGGGTAGAAATACCACATACTTTCAATTTATACATTCTATAATAATCCACAGATTTGCACATAAGGACATATTGATTTTTAAATCATGCTATTTGCATCTAAAGTTGGTGGGGGGGGGGTAAGAAAACCACTGGGTGTACACTGAGAAATGTGCTATAGATGGTGGAGAAATTCCCACCCAACCAAGTAAACAAATATGACCGCTAGCACCAAGCTGTAGCTGCAAGAGGGCATGCGGGGCAAAGCCAAATTGTAATGCCACCTCTAGCAGTGCCACTGCTATCCTCAGGCCAGCTGCTGCACCACTGCTTCCTTCTTTGTCCCTGTCTTGGTGCCCAACTAGCCAGGCAGGAGTCTGGAGAAGGCTGACTGGAGGTGAAATTGAGAAAGGGAGATGGTTTGTTCAAACACCAGACAATAGCTGCCTGCTGTGACCAACCCACCGCAACACTAATCAGAACTCTCCTGGACAGCAATGAAACGTGATTGACTTATTTAAACAATTATATCCTGCCTTCCCTCCTAAAGGCAGCTTGCAATAATAGTTTAAAACATCAGTTAGAGGAAAAAATAAAATAGCAAACCCCAGATTCCCCACCACCACCACCAAAAGATGCCTGCCATTCAAACTCCCTCAAAAGCCCTGGAAAACAGGCAGGCTTTGCAGTTTCTCCTGAAGATCTCCAAGAAGGGACCCCACACGTCTTCAGGTAGCCCACTGCACAGAGTCAGGATGGAAAAGGCCCTGGACTCTGGTCGATGCCGGGCAGGGCACCCTGAGTAGTGGGACAGCCAACAGACTGCTGCCTGCTGATTGGTGCACAGGGACATATGGAAGGAGACAGTCCTTCAAACAACAGACAGTCTAGCTCCTGGAGGTAGTATATACGGGGATGAAGCCACGAAGCCCAAGCTAGTGTGAGCATAATGCCTCGACCTATAACGTCTTATCTCACGTTGTTTCTTCCCAGCAGCAACGAGGCTGCTTGTTATTGGAGTCCTTTCACTGAGTCCAAAGAAAGCACTGTGATTAAAAGCAGATTTCCTTCTCTATTATTTCCCTGCCTAAAATGGTTTAGAAGTCTTCAACTAGTTATTCCTATCTTTGCCATTTACAAAATGGTTTGTTAACATCTTTAAAGATGCAATTCTTCAAAGGTTAACTCTTCTCTAGGGTCTATGGAAATTAAATCAGTGTTTTGTTTTTGGATTTCAGGCATATAAATGCAAGCACGTGAATTAATTCAGTGTATAATGCATGGCCTATTGCTTAACTGCAGCTGGTATATTTTGAACTTGCATACTTTTAAACAAGAAAATCAACTCACACTTGGCTTTTAAGTCAGTGCACAGCAACCTACTGCACAGCAAATTTATACAATATACCATAGATGAAGTAGAGCCTTCAGCAAAGTGTAATAAAGGAGGGGGCACAGGCAGTGATTTTCGGGAAAACAGAGGAGCGTGTCCCTGTTTTCACCAGCAAAATGTCTGAGCGTATTTCATTTCAAAAAGAAAACAATCAGCATGAATTATTTTCTGTTCTTAAGACCTTTTAGAATCACAGAATCATAAAGTTGGAAGGGACCACAAGGGTCATCTAGTCCAACCCCTGCACATGTAGCTCTATCTGTTGTTGGACGGCTAGTCAGAAGCCAACTGAAACTGAATCCAACGAAGACGGAGGTCCTGTGCCTGAGTCAGAGCAGTCCAAGGTCAGGGATCCCCCTCCCGACCTTCAATGGGGTGCCATTGGTGCCAGTGCCAGAGGTTAGGAGCTTGGGAGTGCTCCGGGATACCTCCCTAATGATGGAGGCCCAGATAGCAGCCACTGCAAAGTCGGCCTTTTATCATCTACAGCTGATTAAGCAGTTGGTTCCCTTCCTTGAACGCAATGACCTAGCAACGGTGATCCATGCATTGGTCACTTCAAGACTGGATTACTGTAATGCTCTCTACATGGGGTTGTCCTTGTCCCAAATCTGGAAGCTGCAGCTGGTGCCAAATGCAGCGGGGAGGATGTTGTGTCTTCCTATGCGGGAACACATCCAGCCCACCCTAAAAACTCTGCACTGGCTACCTATAGCATACCGGATACGGTTCAAGGTGCTGGTTCTTACCTTTAAAGCCCTATATGGCCAGGGACCTGCTTCCTAAGGGACCACCTTTCCCCACATGTACCCCAGCAAGTACTAAGATCGGGCTCCCAAAATCGCCTGGTTCTTCCGGGGCCTAAAGAGGCCAGGTTGGTTACAACGAAGGCCAGGGCCTTCTCTGTGGCAGCCCCTCACTGGTGGAATGAGCTCCCAGAGGACATCAGGGCCCTGCTGGACCTCAGGGCTTGCAAGACGGAGCTCTTCCACCAGGCTTTTAAGCAGGGTGCCGCCTCGATTGTATGGCCCTGGCCAGATTACCGACTGTGCCAACAACTGTACCATTATTGGTACCGACAGTACCAACAGCGCCACCAACCAAGGTTCTATAGTTAGGTGTGAGCTTGCTGAAACCGTTCAGCTGACAGCTGATATCGGAAGATTTGCCGTCTTTTAATATAAGAATGTAGTATGATTTTATATTGATTGATAGTTTTAATGGAATTTTTAATGTATATTTATGTATGTTGTCAGCTGCCCTGAGCCTGCCGAATGGCGGGGAGGGCAGGATATAAATGTAAATATAAATAAATAAATCTGGACAAGAAGCAATTTACAGATTATTACTAATGAAAGGTTTACAATACTGACAATTTATTTATTTACATTGCTTGGATAAGCCTCTGAAAATCTTGACCAGAAAATGGCTACTATCTCAGATCCTAGGACTGGTTTACAAATTACAAAGAAGAGAAGAGATTGGATTTATACCGCACCTTTCACTCAGAGTCGCAGAGTGGCTTACAAATTCCTTTCCCTTTCCCTCCCCACAACAGACACCCTGTGAGGTAAGTGGGGCTGAGAAATCTCTTTCCGAGATTGTCCTTGAGAGAACAGCTCTGACAGAACTACAGAAGTTTCCTTCTAAGAATGGATTATATTAAAGTGCAGTCATGTTCCTGTTGTAGATGTGAAATAATGCAGAACAATAAGAGAATGTTCTGCATTTTGGATAGCTCTACATTTTATTTTTGCATTCGTCCTTATCCTGGAAGTTATTAGAGCAACGATACCAGGAGGGTTTGAGAATGCATTAGGTGAAGTAAGCAGCTACACTTCCTTCCCTTCTAATGTTATAAGTTATCAAACTGTGCACTATCTTTGCTGCTACTAGAAGTACTATAAACATGTAGGACTGTCCACAACACAATGGAAGACCCATCACCCCACTCTCTGCAAAGGCTAAACTTTGCTAAAGATTTATCTCCTCCCCTTGCAGGTACAATGTTTGTTCTAGTACCTGAATCTAAGCAACTGCAACAAACTGAAGTTTGCTTCTTGCTCAGCAATCAGGATACTAGATCAGCATTAAACTGCAGTTTAGCACCCCAGTTCCTAGTGACAAAACAAACAGCAGACATCACAGTTCATTAGAATGAAGACTTCTGAAAGCAAAAAGTCTGCAAATCTGCTCAAGAGGAGAGAAAAGAGGTCAAGTATGTGCACAACTAATGTATCCTCCCTTCTGTTAAGCCTCTGACAGTTGGGAGGAAAACATTTTAGATCCTTACACTTTAAGACTGTCATACATAAGTACTTCTCAAGTTCATATAATATAGTTTTTACCACTGCATGTAAATGTAGCAGACAGCCACAGCTTCAATGCAGTAATAAACACACTGCACACCAACATGCAAAGTGACCCTCATTCACACGCATGTTAAATGAAAGAAATGGGAGTTGGCTAGACATTCAAGTGAGAAAGCAAATCCATTATGTTAGATGGAGCAAGGGGAATAGATCAACTCTGGAACAGACAGACAACTGAGTGGTTAGAACAGAGGTCTTAAACACATTTGTTACAACGGCCAGATCTGACAAAAATGTCACTTTGCTGGGCCAGGCCATGTGTTCCATAAAACCTAATGCCAGTACCAGCGATATCAATTGTATAAATGACAGCAGCTAGTAAGCTCCAATTAGGTGTATCCTCACGGCAAGGGCTGGGAGGGGGTATAGAGGAAAACACACAGGGGCAGACTGGAGAGCCAGCAGTACAGTGCTGAGCAGATGCTCCCACACTGCTTGACTGCTGCAAACAAGGTTGTTCTGTCTGATGAAGCCACAACTGGAGAGGCTCCACCCACTCCCCTCCCTGAGCAGTCTCCTGTTCCCTCCCTTGCACCAGTTGCTCACGGGCACATAAGAGCCCTGGACAGGCCAGTTTCGGCCCCTGGGCCTTATGTTTGACATCAACGGGTTAGAATGTTGGACTAGGACCTGGGAGACCTGGGTTCAAAACTCAGCACTGTCATGGAAGCTAACTGGGTCGGTGACCTTGAACCAGTGACTCTCCCACATCCTAACTCACCTCACAATGTTGCTGTGGAGACACTAAATTAGGAGATCAGGAGAATAATGCTGCAAGCAACTTTGGGAGAACAGAAGGCTACCAATACTTCTAAAGATATAAAACAAACAGAGAAAGTGGATACTCGAGATGGGATCTTTCATTTATGCCCCCTGTTTATAGTATTCACCCGCAAAAGAAGAAAAGGGAACCTTTGGATCAGGCACCTCATTTTGGTCTTGAAAAGGCTCACGAAGGAGAGAGAATCAAAGCCACGATAGCACGGACGCGGCTTCCCTGCCCTACTACGACACTCTGTCCCCTCCGCAGTGGCGGTGAAAAAGGAAAAGACGGCTGTCACGTGCCGGAAAAATCCAGCCACGCCGGTCAAACAGGGGCGCGGGGAGAGCCAGACGGAAAGGAGGAGATCCAGTTAGAAGCTCGGCCACGAGGGCAGCAACCAAGCGACTCACGTTCCCGCAGCCGGTTCTTGAAATTGGGGTCGCTCCTCCTCTTGCGGTCGAAGTAGATGCAGTAGCCGATGAAAAGGGCCCCGCAAAAGCCTGCGGCTATGGCGCCCGTTCTACCCACCATCATCCTGCTTCCACTCCGCATGCGGGGCGACCGCCGCTCTCCAGCCCGCCTCGCTTCGCAGGCACCTTGGAGCGGGCGCAGCAGAAAAGGACCCCGCCCACACTTGTTACGTCATCCGCCCGCGACAGCAAACGAATGTTTTTGGCCCGAAGCTAGCGCCCAAACGGGGGGGGACCCCAGAATCATAGTGCGCACGCGTCAACTCGGCGCCTTGCTTACCTGCATCGCGCATGTGCTAGCAAAGCTTTTCGCCTCTTTTTGCCCCCTCCGTTCACGAACAGGGGTGGGGGTCGGGTCACGTCGGCTCTGAAAATAGTACTAGCAGAACAGGCCTTTACCAAGACCCATTGAAGTCGCGAAGAAGAGGCATCTGCAGCTAAGACCCTTCATGGGGCTGGTGTTCGAACAAATTGTAAATACGTGAAAGTGGCATCGCGATCATGGAATAGGAGGAGCCAGAGTCACGGTCTCAGCCAATGTTCCCGCTAAGCTGTGGAGTCTTGTGAGCAAAAATTCTACTTTGTGAGCTACTGGCATTAAAGTTGTGAGCGAGCAGTTTGGCTGCTGCATAAATTACTTTGCACTGGAGCCACCCTTCCTGAGCTAAGGCAAAAATGTGTGAGCTGGAGGCTAAAAAACTGTGAGCTAGCTCACACGAATTCAGCTTAGAGGGAACACTGGTCTCAGCCTCACCTAGGCCAGACTTGCGGGCAGATGACCAAGATGAAGGGAGTCAATAAGTAGAAATTAAGCATCTTAAGATGTACTGTATCGCGGAAGTAGCCAGCACAGGAAGTTTAAAGCTCTTCTTGGGGAAAAAGCTCATCCTTGAAGATCATGACTCTTGAAACTAGCACATTCTAGCATGGGTCAATAGGACACATCTGTATAGTTGATTGTAAAGGATTTTGTACTGCAAAAAGAATTTCATAGTAAACTTCTGTCTAATACTCTCCCAACCTAGTCAGGGGCTGAAGTAGTACTGTGTGCATACATTCAGTTTAGACAATAGATAACTAAGGGATAGGTTTGCCAGCTCTGGGTTGGGAAATATCTGGAGATTTTTGGGGTGGAACCTGAGGAAGGTGGGGTTTGGGGAGGGGAGGGACCTTCCCTGGGTATAACAGCATAGAGGCCACCCTCCGAAGCTGTTATTTCCTCCAGGGGAGATCTTGATTGTCTGGAGATCAATTGTAACAGCAGGAGATCTCCAGCTGCCACCTGGAGGCTGGCAACCCTACTAGGGGGGAGGAGGTTTATAAAATTATGCATAGGTGTTACATCTTGTAAATAATAACTCCGCATTAGTCTTCGTCAATCTTTATTGCTCTCAGTCACACAAGTATAACACATCGCACTCCCACTTCCTTTTTTTGTTGTTCAGTCGCACAGTCGAGTCCGACTCTTCGCGACCCCATGGATCATCTCCCGCCAGGCCCTCCTGTCTTCCCCCGTCCTCTGAAGTTGGCTCAATTTCATGTTCGTTGCATCGATGACACTGTTCAACCATCTCATCCTTTGCCGTCCCTGTCTTCTTTGACCTTCAATCTTTCCCAGCATCGGGGTCTTCTCCAGTGAGTGCTCCCTTCTCATTTGGTGGCCAAAGTATTTGAGCTTCAGTTTCATTATTTGGCCTTCCAGGGAACAGTCAGGGTTGATTTCTTTTAGGATTGACTTATTTGATCTTCTTGCAGTCCAAGGGACTCTCAAGAGTCTTTTCCAGCACCATAGTTCAAAAGAATCTATTCTTCGGCGCTTGGCCTTCCTTATAGTCCAACTCTCGCAGCCATACATGACTACTGGGAATACCATTGCTTTGACCATGCGGTCCACTTTGACCACTTCCTACCCCTAATTTATATACAATCCTCTTAAAAAAACATACACTACATCTCCCCCTTTTCTCAATCCATAACATACTACATCTCCCCCTTTTCTCAATCCATAACATACTACATCTCCCCCTTTTCTCAATCCATAACATTGTCCTTCAGACAGGTGGTTGTCTTGTTCTTTCTTTCCTCTCCATTGCTACAGATGAGGGTACCTCTTGGGATGATGATAATGGTGATAATAATGTCTCTCGAGACGTATCTGAAGGTCCGAACTGACGACTTAGAGTGGTTCCCTCATGAACAGGCCCAACATCATTTTGAGTCACTGGTAACAAAGGGAGATAATTTAATTCACTCCCACTAGAATACACAGGTACCAAATAAGCATTCTATACACGACCATCTGATAATCTATAAGTATATGGTCCTTTCCACAATCTTAAGAGGTGAAGTAAACTTATGTTCCCCCTTTTGCAAAATCCCAGGTCTTCTTACTCTTAACAAATGAACCACATTCAAATTTAACATCCTTAGCATCCCTACATTTATCTGCATAAGCCTTACACTTCTTTTGCTTCTGAGCCACTCTTTTCCTCAATTCAGAATCTAACGGTACATCAATCCTTGCTTTTAAGATTCCAGTAACATTTAACTTAGTACCCATCTCACTGGTGATCTGTGCATTGTAGCATGCCTTGTTGCCCTATATGCTTGCAACATTCAGTCATAAAAGCAATCCATGCTTTTCCTTCCAATTTAGCTGTTTGCAAGCTATCTTTCAAACTTCTATTAAACCACTCAATTTCTCCACTAGCTTGTGGATAATACACCAATTATATGTATAATATTTTGTTCCACAAGAAAAGTTTCAAATTCCAAAGAAGTAAATTGGGCACCAATATCAGAAATCAACTCTTTAGGATCCCCTTCCCTACTGAAAACTACAGCCAAAAGCTTAATCACAGCAGCATAAGAACATAAGACACGCCAATGTTGGATCAGGCCAAAGTCCCATCTAGTCCAACACTCTGCCACACAGTGGCCAAAAATACCAGGTGCCATCTGGAGGTCCAGCAGTAGGCCAGGACACTACAAGCCCTCCCACTGTTGCCCCCCCCCCCAAGCACCAAGAATACAGTTCATCACTTGCCCCAGACTGAGAGTTCCTATCTATACCTTGTGGCTAATAGCCACTGATGGACCTCTGCTCCGTATGTTTATCTAATTTCCTCTTGAAGCCACCCATGCTTGTAGCCGCCATCACCTCCTGTGGCAGTGAATTCCATGTGTTAATCACGTCCCGTCAGTGAACCAGTCTCCTGCCTAAAGTTTTGGCCACCTGTTAGCACAGCCTCTAGAAAACCTCACCTTCTTCAAAGCACAACATTACTAGGTCCTAAAATGTTTGCCAAAGTAAATTTAGCCAAGATCGAGTCAGAGCAGACAGCACACATCTGGAAAGGAGGACCCTGGTAACAGGAATTCACATAATAGAAACAGTTACAACTGTGCAAAGCAGAAAACAAACAAAATTCAGGCAATGGAGGGATGCAGAGATTTCCATTGATTCCTCCTGTCTACTGCAGCCCATTGAGTCCCCCCTCCACCAATTTTGGGTCCTGGGAGTCAGCAGCATCTCAGATACAGCGCAGAGGGCAAAGGTGTAGTCTGCAGTGGGACAGGGCAAAAACTGCCATCACCTTTCGAAACAAAGTTTTCGGAATGTGTGGTTAGATACAGGCCGTACTGGCTTCAATCTACAGGACTCTACTGTATGTTTGGAAATACATTCATAATGCCAGAAAGGGGAAAGATGAAAGAATATTTTTAATTAGCAGGAACAAGTCTTATAAAAAGCAGATTACTTCTGGTTAGCAGATCTTCTATATAGAGCTAAGCCAGGAAGAACTTGCAGGAGTTGAGGGTTGTCTGTGGCCATCAAGGAAAAAAATAAATGACTAACAGATATGTAGGGAAAATGGGAAAGTAACATTTTTGTGGTTACTAACTCTTGTTGAGCTCTCTTAATTTAACTACAATTTATACTGTAGTCACATGCATCAATCCATCCAACCCTCTAAACTACAATTGACATATGTAAGAATTTCAACAGAATGCCTATGAAATAACTTTTATTTAAAATACACACTTTGAAACTGGCAGCATAACAATTTCATTTGTAATTTTTAAGTTTTTTCTTTGCAATATTTGTTGATCTTGGTTTTTTCCTCTTTTTCACTGGATCAGCTTTTTCACCAACAAAAGTATCACTGGAACACCTTTTTGCATTGTTCCGTGGGGCAGCTTTTTTATTTTTAAAGCTGACCAAGTTCTTTACATTCTTTTCTGAGTTTTTCTGTTGTACTTTTTCTCTTTCGGTACAGCGTTTCACTCTGAGCTTTCTTCCTTTTAGCTCAGAGTTGTTTAGCTTCAGGGCGAGGTGCACAGCATCTGTATCCTTCAAGGAAAAATATTTGATAAGCTTATGTGCATAGTAAACAAAAGAATGCTTAATTTCTATTTTAGCCATTCTTGTTTAACAAACTACAGCACTTGACATTGCAATATTTATTCTGCAACTGATATATAAGTGGCCTGAAAGGGCCATCGCAACTGTGGACTTAAAAGACTGTAACTGTGTTCAGGATTGCACGGTAAAGCTATTTTTACCTTTGGGTATTTGCCTGCTATAGAAAAAGTGCATTATTTTTTCTCCAGGGGAACCATGTGATGTCCTTGCTTATTGGGGAGACGGTTTTACCTTTAAAAAACTCTGTGTGTACCTAAACTTGGTAGATTTCTGCTGCCACCAGGAATTAAAATTCCAAATCTCTCTCTCTTTTGGTAGAATGACCTAGGGTCTGGGCACTTCAGAGGACTATGTGGCCCTGAGGAAGGCCTATTCTGATTTCTGGGATAAGTTTAAACAAAAAATGATTTATTTAATAAAGAACAAAATAGGTTTCTGGTTATTTTGAACTGTTGCTGATGAAAGGAACTCGTAAATATAACTGGCAAAGCTTGGTGTCACAAACAGTTTCTTAAACTCCCCAAACTCCACTCTGACAGGCGTAGACACAGTCTAATCTCTCACTCTCTCATCTATATAGCCACACAGGCTGAACTCTTTGCCTTATTCACACAGACTAAACGGTTTGTCTTATTCACACAGAATAGACTCAAAAACTCCCATAGTCACAGTGACTATGCTCTCTCTTCAAACTTCACACACAAAATCCCTCTCAAAGACACCTCCCACACTCTCAGTCATCCGCCAATCACCTCACACTTGTCTCCCTCTATCACTCTCCTTACATTACTGCAGTCAAACTAAACATTTAAAGAAACACACACCAAAAATGGAATCATTACAAACCAGTCACCTGGAGATCAGTTGTAATAGCAGGAAATCTCCAGCCACTACCTGGGGGTTGGCAGCTCTAGCATGCAGATAGGCTGGCACAAAAGTTTAGGACATTAGCATAAACCTAGTTTGATGTATGACAGTTAAACATACTTCAATAGTACCTCCTAGTAAAGGTGAGGTCTATATATGAATGAATGTTTTTAAATTTATTTTTAGACTTGTATCTGTGCAAAACTGAAGCAAAAGAGATTAGGAAAAGATGGCAAGAATACACCGAAGAACTATACAAGAAGGACCTCAATGCCCTTGACAACCATGGCGGTGTGATCACTGACCTCGAGCCAGACACCCTGGAGTGCGAAGTCAAATGGGCCTTAGAAAGCATTACTAACAACAAATCTAGCAGAGGTTATGGTATCCCAGCTGAGCTATTCAAAGTCTTTAAAATGATGCTGTTAAAGTGCTGCACTCAATTTGCCAGCAAATTTGGAAAACGCAACAGTGGCCACAGCATTGGAAAAGGTCAGTTTACATTCCAATCCCAAAGAAGGGCAACCATGGAATGTTCAAACTATTGCACAATTGCACTCATTTCACATGCTAGCAAGGTCATGCTCAAGATCCTACAAGCTAGGCTTCAGTAGTACGTGGATAGAGAACTGCCAGAAGTACAAGATGGGTTTTGAAGAGTTAGAGGAACTAGAGATCAAATTGCCAACATTCACTGGATTATCCAATTTTTTTTTAGTATATGTGCTGCCGATTATGGAGAAAGCAAGGGAGTACCAGAAAAATATTTACTTCTGCTTCATTGACTATGCTAAAGCCTTTAATTGTGTGGATCACAACAAACTGCGGCAAGTCCTTAAAGAGATGGGAGTACCAGACCACCTCACATGTCTCCTGAGAAACCTGTATAAGGGTCAGGAAGTGACAGTTAGAACCGGATATGGAACAACTGATTGGTTTAGCATAGGAAAAGGAGTACGACAAGGATGTATATTGTCACCCTGCTTATTTAACTTATATGCAGAGTACATCATGTGAAATGCCAGCCTGGATGAATCACAAGCCAGAATTAAGATTGCCGGGAAAAACATCAACAACTTCAGATATGCAGATGATACATTCTAATGGCAGAAAGTGAAGAGGACCTGAAGAGCCTCTTGCTGAGGGTCAAAGAGGAGCGTGCAAAAGTTGGCTTGAAACTCAACTCAACAACAAAAAACCGAAGATCATGGCATCCGGCCCCATCGCTCCTTGGCAAATAGAAGGGGAAGTCGTGGAAGTAGTGACAAGACTTCACGTTCCTGGGATCCAAGATCACTGCAGATGGTGACTGCAGTCATGAAATTAAAAGACACCTGCTCCTTGGGAGGAAAGTTATGGTAAACCTAGACAGCATAATAAAAAGTAGAGACATCACCCTGCCAACAAACGTTCGTATTGTCAAAGCAATGGTATTCCCAGTAGTAATGTATGGCTGTGAGAGTTGGACCATAAGAAAGGCTGAGCACCGAAAAATAGATGCTTTTGAATTATGGTGCTGGAGAAGACTCTTAAGAGTCCCTTGGACTGCAAGGAGATCAAATCAGTCAATCCTAAAAGAAATCAACCCTGACTGTTCCCTGGAAGGCCAGATACTGAAGCTGAAGCTCAAATACTTTGGCCACCAAATGAGAAGGGAGCACTCACTGGAGAGGACCCTGATGCTGGGAAAGATTGAAGGTCAAAGAAGACGGGGATGACAAAGGATGAGATGGTTAGACAGTGTTATCGATGCAAGAAACATGAAGTTGAACAAACTCCAGAGGATGACAGAGGACAGGAGGGTCTGGAGTGGTCCATGGGGTCGTGAAGAGTTGGACTCGACTGTGCAACTGAACAACAACAACAAAATCCTACCCCTTCCCAGGGTCACAGGGTTCAGGGCAGCTCATAACATTCAATCAAACAATCTATAAATAGAGATAAAACATACTAACAAAAAATTAAATTACAATCCATAAAATAGCGCCCTAGCTCAAGCATCAGAATAAAACATGAGCACTTGGCACCCAACAACCAACGTCCCAGACTGCTGTCAAAAACAGGCAGCGCTGCTAATGGGTGGCAGAAAACTGGCTTCAACCATCCTCAACAGAAACCCTGGGAGAACAACGCTGTCCTACAGGCCCCACAGAATCTAGAAAGATCCCACAGGGTCCAGATGTAATCTAGCACAGAGCTCTACCAGGAAGGACCACTATTGAAAAAGCTCTTGCCCTTGTTCCACTCAGGCCTCCAGCCCTCCAAACCCATTTCAGGCCTCCAGCCCTCCAAACCCAACTCTTAGAATCAGGTCTTGTGCTACCTGATACAACCCCAAAATGAGGAAGAAGCATCAATCAGGGAGCTGACAGTCCCAAAAGTCATGCAATAATCTGCTGTGGATTATGGTCCAACGGACTGTGTGTCAAGGACATTTTCACACAGGAAACTAAATGTTTCTTAAAAGGTATTGCATGGAGGTATTCACCTTACAGTTGCAGGAGCAGAAGGTGTTTGCAGTGGTGCATTTCCCCCCCTTCCCACAGAGGACTGCAGTGAGACGGGGAAGACTGAGAAAGATCTGCTGCAGTGAATACCTATCATGCATACCAACTCTCCATACTAAAGTAATTTCTAAAATAGCTGAAAGGGTGCTATGTTCAAAGTTATTTTAGTATAGTGCATTATGATTTCGGTGCAACTCCTTCTATGAAGATAGATCCAGGTGGTCAGCCGTGTTGGTCTGAAGCAGTAGAACAAATTTAGAGTCCAGTGGCACCTTTAAGACCAACAAAGTTTTAATTCAAAGTATGAACTTCCGTGTGCATGTACTCTTTTTCAAATACATCGAAACGGTAGGTAAGGTTTAAAACTTACAGACAGGGGCTGAACAGCAAATTAACTTGTAACATGAAGATGTGCAAGATAAAACCATGAACTATGAAGGATATTCAGTTACACCTAAAAAGAGTCTTTGATAGTATATTGAAATAAAAGAAACCAGGTTTTTGTGTATCTATGAGGTGCTCTCTCTCTCATGATTGTACTATATGCAGTGGAGAACAAAGAGATCCCCAGATTTGTAAATTACATACTGAATATTTTTATCACAGCTATGCAACAGATGTTAACATACCTCAAACAGAACATAACCAAATCCTTTGCCAGTGCCAGTGTTCCGGTCTCTCACAATGCGCACACCCTTTACAGTTCCACACTCAGAGAAATGGTCTCTCACAGTATCATCATCAATATCTGTAACCAAAGAGTTAAAAAAGCATCCAGGTGCAGAAATATAATTCTTTTAGATGTATGATCAAAATAATGAAAATGGTCATTTACAATTTAAATGGAAGAAATTTCCACTTACTTGCAATGGCTACTTCACTTTTGCAAGGGTATATATTTCATATGAATGTAAGAACATAAGAGAAGCCATGTTGGATCAGGCCAGTGGCCCATCCAGTCCAACATTCTGTGTCACACAGTGTCTAAAACCCAGGTCCCATCACCAGTGAGGCCAGTACTTTCTTGGTAAATTATCACAATACATACATAATGAATACATAACACAATACATAATGAAAATCATCTGACAGTTTGTAATGCAATGCAAATATTTCTTGACAAATATGGCTGTTCAGCTTATTAAAAGTACACAGCTTATCAGCATTTTAGAAACTGAATCCACTCATCGGCAAAGAACCACAAATGAAACTAAATTTCATAAGGCCCTGTGGAATAACAATTTTAATGATAAGATTAGTCTACAGTCACACAACAGGGTTGAATATCCACCTTTTACTTACCATAGGGGAGATTTCCAACAAATATAGACCTCTTATTATCATGCTGCAAAGCAAGTAAACAAGGAGAACTGTGTCAGAAGCCTAAAGCAGCAGCTACCAAAAAAAAAAAAAAAAGATTTTCCCAACAATGTTTCAGCTACTTACAGAAGTGGATTCTGAAGCAAGGTCAACTCTGATGTGGAATCCATCAGCAAATTCAGTTCCATTACTATTGCAGCCACAAGAGGTAAAACATCATCAGAAATAATCAATTGCTATCATGTATAGTTTTACGCATTGAAATATTTCAGGAGTTTCTTTAAGATTTATATGCTTTCAATTTTAAGGTATGTATAATAAGATTATCAAATGTATTCTGTTGTAAAACAATTCTTTTACCTAAATTTTTATTTTTGTTTCAAAATCTACCTATTGATATCCCAACTAAAGGTTTCAAGGTGTGGAAAACTAGTCTTGTAAAATTCCTTTGGGCTAACAAGAAACCTCGTATAAAGTTATCACTTTTAAATAAAACAGTTAAGGCTGGAGGACTAGGTTTGCCATCCTTTGAACAATATTATTTAGCAGCCTAATTAAAAACAATTTTTAATTATGTCAACCCAAATTGTGAAAAAACATGGGTTCGCATAGAGGGAGCATGTTTATTACCAGATAAACTACATGAAGCGCTTTGGAATACACCAAAAACAAAATCAGCTTAAATGGAGACAATAAATTCTTAAATTTTACACTGAAATTGTGGGATAAATATAGAAATATATTGGCACCGGGCACTTCTCTAGTAATGCCCTTTTTAGGTCAGCATTGGTTTAAACATACTTCAGATTTCCCTAATCTAAGAGCTAAAAATATCTTTAAAATAGGAGATTTGATCATAAATGGACAACTAAGAACTCACAAACAGCTTGAACAGAAACACAAGGTTAAACTTAATTGGTTTCAATATCAACAACTAAGGCATATGTTTAGTGAGCTAAATAAGGCATCAGATTTTGAAATACCATTAATTCAATTTGAAAAGGTAATACAAATGAACATACATAATTTTAAAGGACTCATAACTATAATATACAAATTACTTAATGACAAACTACGGAAACAAAAATCCTCTGTTCAAATGACATGGGGAAAAGAGTGTATAGGCCCACTTAATGATTAGCAATGGAACAACATTTGGAGCTCCTTTTCTTTTAAAACTAATAACCTGGTAGTAAAAATACAATCTTTTAAAATATATGCCCGGTGGTACTTAACACCTAATCGCTTATTCCTATGTAAATTTAAAGCAAACCCGAAATACTGGAAGAGCTGTGGACAAAAGAGAACTTTTCTACATTGTTGGTGAGCTTGTCCTAAGATATCTAAGTTTTGGAAAGATATTCTTACTGAAATTTCTAAGATGATTAGCCATCCCATCCCAAATACACCAAAGTCAGTACTCCTTAACCACTGGCCGTCTTTAAAGTTAACCAAACAAACATCAGAATTCATATCACTACTACTTTCGGCCGCAAAATCCTTAATAGCTTTAAATTGGAATCAAACCAAAATACCTACTATGAATCAGTGGGCTTCTAAATGCTGGAACATAGCAGTAGCAGATTAAGTTAGCAACTCAATTAACAGTGGCACAAATACCGACAAAACCAAACAATTTTCTTGAGAAATGGTTCCCTTATTTTGATTATGTCTCTTCTAGCCCTAAGGTGTCTTGATTTAAATCCCGAATAAATATTTGAACTTTGTTTTCTATTATTAGTATATGATACTGGATTGAAGAAAGTAAGAAGTATTGTAGAAAATACTTAGACTCCTCTTTTCATATTGTGTAAAGTTCTGGAAAAGCTGTGGAATGTTAAATATACATCACGTTGATGTTTTATTTGTATTTTGTTTATAAATTGTATATTTTGGCATTACTATTTTTAATAACTTGGTTGTGTTGTTTTTTGGATTGGTTAAAATGTATTCTGTTGCACTAGATTTTATGGAATGACTGCTAATTTTTATAAAGATTACCGTTTTAAGGCGTTAACAGCTGCACATTCTTCCTTGAAGACAACATAAGCATTCATGTACTTCCTATTAGGATGCACCTTTCGTCTAAAAAAAAATACAGTAATCTGTTTTTAATTGAAAATTAAGCCTTACATTTACACTTTTTGTAAGCAAGACACAAAAGGCTATACAATTCATATCATAGTCTTCAACAAGGTTATCTGGCCATAAGTTCTATCAATTCAATAATTAGACTAGAACAAGGGAAACCTAGGTTCAAATCCACACTTTCCCATAGCTCACAGAGTGGTCACTACCTTTCAGCCCAACTTACCACACAGTACTATTGTGGTGTGACACAGTCACATAAAGCTGCCTTATAACCAGACCCCTGGCCAATCCAGTGTGTACTCTGACTGACAGCTACTCTCCATAGTCTCAGATGGTCTTTCAGGGTCTTTCACTTGGAGCCTTCTAACTGGAAGTGCCAAGGACTGAACCTGGGATTCCATCAATGTAAAGGAGATGCTCTGGTACTGAGCCACAGCATTTCCCAAGGGCCGTGTACACAACCCTAAACTTCTTGGGGGGGAAGGATGGTATTAAAAATCTATTTTTTAAAAAATGCTTCCTGGAAGGTATACCAAGAACTGTTTTCAAAATGCTCAGTCCTACACTTTTCTAAGCAAAGCCACCTCAGATCACATAGGATCAGTACCTCCAGCTGTTTCTGCATCAGAACCTTCAACCAGCCCCAGCACAACTGTGTTGCACCAAAAAGGAGAGAACCCTGCCCTTGGTAAATAATCCAAAAAGAGTCCCTATATGCAACACAAAATCACAAACACTGAGAATGGGACGAGAAGTACTTTCAACCTTTTCATTTGTTGTGCTTCAAGAGCTATTGCACAAATAAACTACTTACCTCTGTATCAGTTATACTGACTTGCAGAATTGTAAACTGCAGAATTGTAAACTTGTAAAGCAAGGTTTAGAATAAATGAGAGGCCACTTGATCTTTACCATGCTTTAACTGGTCAAGCAAGTTTTTTGGGGGCTGCATATTATAAAACTTATTTTGAAAATACTGAAAAATGAAACACAGAACTTGAAAGACGTACTTTATGGCTGCCAGTTTTTTGGACAACGTATCCTCTGCTGGAATCTTAAAGAAAAACAAAAGAGCATTAATTAGTGGGTATTATTCAGCTTCAGGATGTCACATTATGAACATCTGAGAACATTATGCTCAGTGCAGCAGAGGCTGCTGGTAGTTCCAAATCTAGGGAGGTGAGGACTGTTTCTGCCCAAACCTGGGCTCACTCATGGCACCCCCAGCCTCAGCTGTTTGTTGGCCACAATAATACTCGTTTCTTTCATTCTATCTATTGCTAATGCAATGGTTTTAATAACTCTTTGTTAGTTTGTTGTACTAAGAGTGTGCATGAAAACCACTTTGAATGATTAATACCTTTCAGAAAAGCAGAATATAAATATTTAAATATGGGGTAGAAAGTTATTACAAATGAGAGAACTGGGTCAGTGATGGTTCCAGCTATATGCTAGTATGCAATTAATGAGCTGCGGTCGCTCAAGTGGTTAAGACGCTAAACTGCAGGCTGTGGAAGGTCGGTAGTTCAGCAGTTTGAGACCCGAGTGTGCCGCATGATGGAGTGAGCTCCCGTCTCTAGTTCCAGCTCCTGCCAACCTAGCAGTTCGAAAGCAAGAAATTGCAAGTAGATAAATAGGTACCACTTCAGTGGGAAGGTAACAGTGTTCCGTGCGCCTTGGTGTTTAGTCACTTTGGCCACATGACCACGGAAATGTCTTCGGACAGCGCTGGCTCTTCGGCTTTGAAATGGAGATGAGCACCGCAACCCTAGAGTCGGATTCGACTGGCTTTCAAGCAAGGGAACCTTTATCTTTACCTAATTAATGAGCAAAATAATTATTTGCAAATAGATGAGAAAACAGAGGTGTTCATTAAGCCAATCCCTCAGACTGTGCAGCTAGGTTAGGCCTTCAAAACTGATGCCATTAAATCAGTAAAAATTGGCAGCATTTCTATACCACTAGGTGGATATTCCTGTGCAATGTCTTGTCAGAGGAGTGGGAGAGATGGTTTTGTAATTCCTTGACATTTAGAGAGAGGAGAAACTTCATCACAAAACCAAAGCAGTCATCATAATATGGACTCTTTTCCATGGAGTACTGTATCAAGGCCAAAGTGTTGCATTTGGACTACAACTACAGATTTTTACCTCAAAACTCTGTGGAAACCATCACAATACCATATAGTTCTGAGAGGGAAAGCAAATAGGGAAGTAGTGAGATGCTGTTCACATTGATCAAAAATAATGGAGATACCATACACCTCTGCTGTTAGTTTACAGAGGGAAGTGAATCATGACATAACAGACCCCTGCCCTGTATATGGAAAGATAAAGAAGGCAAATGTGTGTGTCTTCTGTTGTAATTCTGTATGAAGCTAATGTCGATACAGCAACAATTTGTTTGCAGAATGACCCTAGCAGAAAAGCACCCCATGTCTTCTAAGCCCCATGGGATACAACAGACTTCCTATCCCTACTCAAGCTCTTTGGCAGGTACAGAAGACCTGGAGGAGAGCGGCCAGCGGCAGCCACAAATCATGCCTTGACTAGTAAGCCAGGCCAGAATTTGTAGGTTCAGGGCTAGGTTTTTATTTACTTTTTATCGGAAAGATTTACATCATGACTTCCGCCTGCTTCTCTCCTGCTGTCTCATTTATCCCAGTCCTTGTTCTCCACCCTCCCATCCATTTGCCTCATGAATGGGATACTGCCCATACTGTCTTTTGTGACCCTTTCAAGCTGGACCAGTTAGTGAATAAGAGAATAAACAAAGGAGAAGAAAAAAGAAAGGAAAAAATTATCAGTAATAGTTCAATGGAGGCACATTCATCAGTCCCAGGCAAGCAGACAAATTGTACCTGGTAGGTTCATAGAGTATTAGGGACAATTCATTTGATCAGGTTCGTCATATATGATCAAGCAAACTTGTGCATGAACAGTTCTGAGTTGTTTGGAGAATGCATATTTAAAGCACCACAGCTAAACCTATTTGTAGCACCTTGCAGAGGCATAGCAGCACTACTGAACCGAATCTCTTATATGTTAAAACGCATTCAGCAGCTGGTAGAATTATCCATGGCTCCCAAACTTGTGCCGATTGTCACACCACCACGTCTATCCATCAGCTCTTATGAATGAGCAGCAAAGTAAAATAAAATTTCATAGAATTCCTACATTATTATAATTCATCAATGTACTTAAGAGTTTTTACCTGTAGCACTTTTTTAAAAAATATATAAACGTTTCATTTAAAATCCAATGTGTAATAACAGCATTCAAAAGAGTTACTGCTCACACATGAAGAGCAGATGGAATCCCCAAACGATCAGTTTCCAAACGGCTGTCCCTTGCATACTATCCTACACCTTTCAGGAGGCTCCCCTGACAGTCAGAAACACTTCTTTTGTAGGACAAAAGGATAGCAAGAAAAGGAGGTGGTGGAAAAGACCTGTTCCATTTTTTTTTCTCCCTCTCCCTTAATACTAAAACTCTGGGGCAACCAATGAAACTGATAGGAAGTATATTCAGAACAGACAACAGAAAGTATCTCACACAATGCAGGACGGGTTTGTCAATGGCTAACTGTTCCATGTCCTGAGGCAGTAAACCTCTCAGTATCAGTGGTTGGGGCTGGGGCAACAACAGGGAAAGGTTTTGGCATCTGTGCTATACTTGTGGGCCTTCTGAAGAAACAGGATGCTTGACCAGATGGACCATTGGTCTGATCCAGCAGGGCTCTTCTTACGTCCAAAGATGAATACTTTCCAGTAACTTTTATTAGCATACTTGAATATTTACCACAATTGATGCTACCATTTAGCATACCCAGCACTAAGCTAATTTTCCACCCCTTCCTGAGAAACTGCCATGATCAACTAACCCTTGTTTGGGGCAGTTCAACTTTACGAAGACCATGGGTTGCACTCTACCCCTATGCCTACCTAAAAGACAGCATATTGCCAAGATGCAAGACTCTATGGTGTCAAGGGTGCCTTGCAGTGATGGAATATGCCAGCCTTAGTTATGTGCAGTGGTAGTCTACAAACCCTACCGCATGCAGGTAAGAGCTGAAGGAACTGCTGTTATCCTGCAGGTGCGCTTCTATCATGGCCTATAGCAGGGTTCCCCAAAATTTTTGAACCCATGGGCACCTTTAGAATTTTGAGGTCGGGTGGCATCTGCCACTACAAAATGGCTGCCACAGGAGGTGAAGCCAAGCACATATACACAAGAGGAAGGGAGACGTGGAATGTAAGCATACACAAAAGAAGCCGGGGGGGGGGGGGAGTTGTATCATGCACACAAAAAACGACCAATAGAGGAAAAGAAAATAACAGAGACACACACAGAGGACAACCAGGAAGAGAAGAGGGTACTCTACTGCTCCCTACACCCCACCACCTCACAGCTGAACCAAAAGGTCCTGTTTACAGGATCATGGATCATTCTCCAGTAAGCAGTGGGGAGGATCCAAATGAAAAGTACCTTTACCTGTATGAAGGCAGAAAGTCACTGGTTCTGCCTTCACAATGGCCCTACCTACTTTCCCGAACCACTTGGTGAATGTGCCTGCAGGTGTCATGTTGGAGGTCCCTGGTCTAAAGATTGCAGGTCCTCTCTGCGTTAACACTCATGCAGCCATATAAAATAACAAACATTAACGGTTATATCATATACGTACCAAACAGCGGAAGCGCACTGATTCAATTCGTCCATATTCTTTGAAGAATGCCTTCAGCATCTAAATCCAAGCAAATTTGATCTATTCAGTCAGTACAAACAAGAGCAACAACTATTCCCACACACACACAGAGTGAGGTCATCTTCAGGATACTGTTTTTAATTCTGTTCTTATTATAACCAAATACAAGAACCCCCAGTAACTTGCCATGGGTTGGATCAACCAGAATATTTATGCAGACAGAAGGATTTCTATCAACAGGGTGTAACATTATAACTTCCCTCTCCAGCCCAGAATATACTTCAAATGCTGTTCCTGGGAGTGCTCTGTTTCCCAGAAGCACCACTGGTGTGGGGATTTTTGGCTGCAGCAGGAGGTGAGACACAAGCAAGCTGCATTCCACAGATGAAAATCCTTCTGCCTATGGAAATGCTCTGGTTGATCCAAGACACGATCGGCTATTGAAAACATAAGAACATAAGAAGAGCCCTGCTAGATCAGTCCAGTGGCCCAACTATTCCAGTATCCTGTCTCACACAGTGGTCAACCAGTTCCTCTGGAGCTCCAACAATAGGTTGCAGAGGCTGAGCTATATGAAAAATAAAAATGCAATTGGCGAACGTGTCTTCTCTGACACTGAAAGAAAAATTTGTGATGCTTAAGCTGATAAAGTCAACAGTAAAAAAAAATCATATCTAAATATGTTCAATATACTTTTATTCATTAAAATGTTTATATCCTTCCTTTTCTTGTGGCTCAAGTAAGAATATTGGCATCCTGCTCTTAAGATTAATATTTATTTACTAAGCTATACGCCACCTTTCTACCCTCATCAAGGCCTGCAAGGCAGCTAACAAATCAAAAACATATATAATAAAAACACATCTTAAACATTAAAACCAAATCAAAATATATCATAAAACAATTAAAACCAAAGCTAAAATACCCATACAAGAACATAAAACCAACAATTAAAACAATGAAAGAAGGAGGGATCACTGAGGGAAAACCACATGAAACAAAACTCTTCACTCTCCAGCAGAAGACGGCAACAGAAGGGGACAGGCAAGTCTCCCTGGGGAGAGAGTTCCAGAGCTGTGGTGCCATGACCCAGAAGGTGCTTTCCTGGGTTGCCATCCATCTAATCTCAGAAGGGGGGCACCCGAAGCAGGGTCTCTGAAGATGACTGTAGTGGTCAGATACATTCATAAATCCATCAGGTATACTGGTCCCAAGCCATATAAGGGTTTAAAGGTCAACAGGAGCACCTTGAATTGTGCTGGGAAACAGTTGGGAGCCACTGTAGAATATGATCCCTACAACCCATTCCAGTCATAAGAACTTAAGAGATGCCAGTGTTGGATCAGGCCAATGGCCCATCCAGTCCAACACTCTTGTCACACAGTGGCCAAAAATACCAGGTGATATCAGAAGGTCCAGCAGTGGGGCCAAGACCCTAGGAGCCCTCACACTATTGACCACCACCACCCCCAAGCACCAAAAATACAGATCATCACTTGCCCCGGAGACCCTACCTATACCTTGTGGCTAATAGCCACCGATGGACCTCTGCTCCATATGCTTATCTAATTCCCTCTTGAAGCTGTCCATGCTTGTAGCCGCCACCACCTCCTGTGGCAGTGAATTCCATGTGTTAACATCCTGGCTGCAGCATTCTGCACCAATTTAAGTTTCTGAACACTTTTCAAGGGCAGCCCTATGTAGAGTGCATTGCAGTAATCTAATCTAGTTGTAACTAGGGCATGCACCACAGTGGCCCGATCTTTTGACCAGGAAAGGCCACAACTCTTAAGCACATTTCATTCAAACAAACCCTAGTGATATTAATGGAACCCATTTCATCATTTGTGTGCATCAGAGATCACTGGCTATTCCCTTAAATACTAAAAGTGATGTCTGATTTTTGCTTCCCAACATTACTTACTTACCTGTACTGTACAATCAATAGGTAAATTCCCCACAAAGACAGTCCTCTTATTCTTTAGCATTTCCTTAGCCATGTCAATTTGCATTTTCTTCTGTTTTATTCCAGCATCAGCATCTGAAGCTGAGAGATGCTGAGAAGCCAACTTTTGTTTGATTTGTCTCTCTTTTTTCATCTCCTCTTCATCTGTTTGATCCAAAGCATATTCCCTTGACAAGTAGTGAAAAATTGAAGTCAAGCTGTTAACATCCATTCTTTATACTCCATGAAAAATCTGTATTTTTAATCTACCCAGTCACAGAAGTAATAAAAGATCCATTGTTGGAGAAACTGGAGGTGACAGTTACATTAAAAGCATGCAGTGAGTGACTCACATGCTAATGCACAGCCAGAATACCTTTGCAAAAGGATGCATAAACACATCAAGAACCAGTTCATACATTACACACTTAATGAGTAATCACATGAAACGTAGATCCCTATATACTGGTTTGGAACTCTACAGGGTCCTGCTAATCAGGTAAGGCTGTACAGGCGTGAACCACTCATCTACCTCCTCTCTTCCCTAGTACTTTTGGGAACAGAAGTATTCCAGCCTGAGCATTTAGCACTTCCCAGGAGCTACACAAGTCAAGGATAATTATTCTCTCCCCTCCTTGTTTCCAAATGCAGGAGGACGCATTGCCATAGTGACTACTTGTGTACCACTGGCATTTCACATTTGCCCATGAAGAGACAGATTCCAGTGCAGTATAATAATAATAATAATAATAATAATAATAATAATAATAATCTTTCAATTTATTGATCGCTCAATCCTTGCAGCTGCCGGCTCTGAGCGATTTACAGTTACTCTTGACGCGGGACTAACAATGAGGGGGGTAAGGGAGGACAACATATATCATTTAAATTACACACATTCCACAGCCGACAAGGAATTTATGATCTGCGGTGATCTGCGGTGAACATCAGGCATGGTCCAGGCAGCCTCTCTCTCTCTTTCTCTCTTCTTCTCTCTCGGCATCGCTTTTGACGTCGTCAGCATTTTTTCTCGTCGCAGCACACCACTGCCACCGTCTGGCCGGAATGGCCGGAATGTCCCATTGCGGCTGCGTAGATCTTTTCTCGGCTTATGATGTTCCGCACGGACCTTCCGTTATCGGCTAACACCTCACCCATGAGGGGGATTTAGTGTGCCCGCCCTCTCTAAGGAGCGGTACCCATTTTATCTACTCGCCGAAGCTTTCGAACCGCTGGGTGGACGGCGAGCTGGGGACAAGACTTGGTAGCTCACACCAAGTGCGGGGCTCGAACTGACAGCAGTCCTGTTCAGCTCAGATGTTTAACCAGAGGATAAATCCCCTGTGCCACCTGTGCCCTGTGTAGTGGTTAAGAGTATCAGACTAGTATCTGTGAGACCCTGGTTCAAATCGCCACTCATGCCATGGAAGCTTATTGGCAGACCTTGCACCAGTTATTCTCTCTCAGTCTAACCTACCGCAACCTAAGGTTCTCATTAGGGAGAAAGGTGGGGTATAAATTACTTAAATAAATAAAAATCCCTTTTGCTGAGGCCAGGCTTTTTGGGGGGAAATTACCCACATCAGAGCTCACACACATTAGCTGATACATGAACTCCTCAGCAATGAACCACATCAACTGGATCTAAGAGACGAATACATCCATCATGTGTTGATTTATTTTATCAGATTTTTATCCTGGCCTTCCTCTACGGAGCTGAGGATGATACATGGCTTCCCCATTTTTTGCTGTTGCAACACTATGAAGGGATGTCACGCCACAAAAAGAATGAGCGGCCCAATGTCATCTAACGGACTCCTTGGCCAAATGAGAACTCTAGATTCCCAAGTTCTACTCTGATAGACTAACCAATACACACCAACAGTTCCATGGCAGCAAAGCATTCGTCAGAATAATGACTGACGTAACAGAAGCTACTTATAGCCAGTTCTCTCTCCTGCACCCTTGCTACCACAGGTGGAAGAAGAATGTAGATAAACAGACCACAAGGACACTGATAGCTCTTACAGAAGAGCTGGCAACACTGACTAAGAGTATTGAGTTTTTAGACACACATGTCCTTTACTATGGCGTACGTATTGGATGATGAGCTTGGTACATATTGTTTAGATTTTTACAACAGTGACAATCATAAAGGAAGCCAAATATAATACAGAAAAGTGCCTTTACATGCCATAAGACATTGTTACTTAAGTTTCTAGCTTATTCTGACCCTAAGGCTTAGTGAAGATAACACAACCAACTAATAAAATAAGTGAAATAATCTTCTGAAAATGTGAGTACTACATTCTGCCACAAACACATGCCAGTCTATCTTTAAAACAAAATACTTTTCCCATCCTGCCTGACTTCAAATTGATGCGACCTAAGTATAAAATGTTTTATTTACCTTTTTACTAATCTTTCCTCTGCTGGAGAGAAAGCTTTGTTTTTAGCTTTCTTCATGTTTTTCAAAGGCACTCGTTTGACAGAGTTCTGAATTTCTGTGGCAATATCCTCTTCTGTATTCTTGCGCTTCTTACTCTCCTTTTAGAAAAAGAAAGGTGATATTAACAGGTCAGACAAGACTATCAGGCGACAACAGAATAGTCTGAAAAATATGAAAAACTCACGGTTAACCTTCCACCCAACCCCCTTTTGTTTAAATAGCTTGAATGAAAGGTGTATATTTTTAAAAACTTCTCCTGGCAGACTTCCCATACATGGTCCTATGAGTCAAAAGAATCTGCAGTACTAGCATAAGCATCACATACCTTTGGAAAAAAGCCTACAATTTTTACTTCAAGCACAAAACTTTGTTTCAGTTATGCTGCGAAGTATTTTTGTAATGCAAAAAAAGAGAAGCAAATAGTATTAAAAAGGATAAATTTTAGCATAGGCTTACTACTCTTCTTCTAAAGTTCCTATCACACAAAATGGTGGCCCAATTCATGAGTTGCCACTGAGCGATATGCCCCCAAGTGACAGTCCCAGACCACAGTGGTAACATCTATCATCTGTTCAGTTAGAAGGTCAGTTAAATCCACATCTATGGCTGAATGCTCTGGTAGCTCTGTGGCCTGTGATACTATTTCATCTAGTTTTAGATGGCTTAAGAAGAACGAGAGGACAAGCTGATTAGAGTCTGAAAATCCACCAGTCTCATTAGCATATATTATGTCTGAACCATACTGTAACAGGCGGTCATTTCCCCAGAAAGCATTTTCCTGGGAGTACCTTCTTTGGGGGGCTGAAACTCGGGCCCTGTAAATCCAATCTTCACCAAACTTGGAGGGCAGGTAGAAGAAAGTCACCTGGACATCCCCTGTGAGTTGGTGTCTCTAGCACACCAGGGTGCTGTTCTACTGGGTCACAAACTTTTTTTTTTGTAATTTAATTGCTTTTTTACTACAAACTACATAGGAAAGGGACATAGGGGATACTAATACTAATAAAACAAGAGATATAGCAAGGATCATGTTACATGTAATTTACTTATTAGGCCTTCCTACTATTATTAGAATAAAACATATAATAAAATAATACCAAGTATCTTATATCACTAAAGCTAAGTCAAGCCCATTTAGCCTTTAAGATACATCATAGTATCTTAAAACACAAATAGACTTTCAGATTCATTATCATTATTTCCTGTGCATAAGGGAGATCCGCTCACAGAATTCTACCCATTGAATCTCCTTAAAAGGATTCACCAACATAACTTCATTAAAGGTCTATATGTTGACCAAAACATGAAATCCTCTGACCTCATTATCCCCACACTCATTATAGATAACCCAGCGATTTGATAACATTTTAATAGCTCAGTGCGTGATGTTACTCCTATTTAGGGAACTATTGACATTTTTAAAAAGTACTTACTCTTGGTACAGCAACATACATTGGTTGTTCTTCCATCCCTGGAGCACTGAAAAGTTGTACCAAGGGATCTGTGCCACATATTGCAGGGTTCTTTTGAAACAGACTGTTGGCCACTTGCCCTACAATATACTCTTCATTTGATACAGCAACAGCATCTTCCTCACAAACTTTTCTATTAATGAAAGTCAATCATTAGGTGTCACTTGGTACCACTAGCAATCAAACATATATAAAGAGATCTTATGCTAAAGTTTAAGAATGCAAACGTAATGAAACTTTTGAAGATGTTTCTGAAATGCTCCTTAAGATGACATCAAGACATTCTGAAATACTTATGTTTTAAAGATGACATACTTATTTTTAACAACGTGAAAAGACATATTTTCCAAATACAAGAAAAAAGTACACATAAGAACAGAGAGTCAATCTGTTTAAAGTTTCCATTTCTATTAAAGTTACAAAATTACAGGCATGTTATGTGGTTATGGCCTTTAAACTCTTAAAACCAATTTCGCGTTAGCCTGTCTTCAACTTGGGCTTTTGCTACATTCATTAACAGCTTGTCTACTTTATTTAGAATAACTGAAATATACCATCTCTGGAAAGAGGCCAGTGCCTAACAAGGAGCATGTGTTGTAGAAAAGGAAATAGGACAAGCTCTGAAGGAACTCTTATGCTATACTTCAGAGAACTGGTAATCTGAAGTATATGTGCTTGGTGGTGGGTCAGTATTTCAAACCCTCGAAACACCTGAGCATCCAAGGGCTGCCTCACATGCTATGTTCTTCCCACAAAAGCCCAGCCTGCAAATAATTACACTTTGTACTATAAGCAGAGAGAAGTTAACATATGCATCAACTTCTGGACCTATAAACATGTGACATAATAAATACTCTGCAAGTGACAGCACAAACAGGTTTTCCTACATGGAGATTTGGTAGGATTTTAAAAAGTAAAATGAAAAGCAGTCTCTCTAGACTTTTTCAGGTAGGAAGTTTGTGGGTACATTCTTTGTGGTTAGAATGTTCACCTAGGGCAGGGGAGATTTGTCAGAACGCCCCTCCCCAGGTCATGAAACGTACTAGGTGACCACGGGACAGTCATTGTGTCTCAGCCTAGCCTACCTCACAGGGTTACTGAGAAAATAAAAGAGAAGTGGGGAGATCCATGCTCACTACCCTGAACTCCGTAGAGAAAAGGTGTGGGATGCTAATATACTAAACATCAAATAAATAAAACATACAGAGCGCCTTTCCCTTTGCACAGTAACCATTTCCCCACATCTGAGGATTAAAGAAAGGCCTTCCAAAGCAAATGGCACAATTTTTGTAAGGCAGTCCTGAACCCCAGGAAACCATGCACAGTACAATACGTAGCGCTTCAGCAGGCATCGGGGAGGGGGAAACCCGAACGCAGGGAGCATTAATAGCCAAGCATTAACTGCCGGATTCGGGGGCCAGGACGGCGATGGGAAGCGTGAAAAACCAGCTGCATCCCTTACTGTTTGCCTGGGCGGGGCTTCTTCACTTTGGACGGCTTCATCTTCGAAAGGAAGCGCTCCCTCGATCCCTTGTCGCCTGCCCGCTTCTGCCTCAAGCGTGGGATCTCCAGGCTCTCACTTCCGGTTCCGCGCGCTGCCCACGTCCCCCTTTCACTGTAGACTCTCCGCAATCCCTTTCAATGCTGCATCTACAGTTATGGGGAAAGCATACGAGCGCCCTCTGCTGGATTGAGGCCCGGTTCAAAGGGAAGCGGCGCCCTCTCACAGACGGGGAGGAGTTAGCGTGGCGGTTTTGTTGACATAGTCAACTTGCACCAAATAAAGCGGCTGGCTGACAGTTTCCGATGGCTCAGGCTTGCTAGACGGAACACCTGTCTATGGGAACCAGTAATATCAGCTCCACGCTCTTGGGCTCCTCCATTTGTGCGTCATCCAATTTAATATATGCCTATATGTGCCAACAATGCCCTTTGGCTTGTCCCCATTGGACTAATGTGAAAGAATCAATTAATAGTAGTCTAGCATAAGAAACAGTAACATTCAGAAACCAGGTGGGGGGATATTTTAATGCTCCTGGATATATTGCTGCAGATCTGAAAGTCACTATTCTACAAACAAACAAAACCCCAAAAAACTCCAAAGAGAATGTACAATGTGAAAGTGCTAAACCAGAACTCATCAAGAAACTTAATACTATCCCATCATCATGTTAATTTAAACAGAGACTTTTATTTCATTTTTCTCTGTAATTCCTAATAGCACAAGACCTGCTTTTGAGAATCTTTAACTGGCTGTTCTTAAAGTCTTGTATTGTGCTGTATCCCCTTATAGATGTCAATTTTCTCATGCTTCAGGCAATTTAAATTAGATATTGCTTATTCTACTTAATTACCCCTTTTGTTTATCTGCACCACATAAGAGAGGCTGGAACCTCTGAACTCTCTTGTTATCCATTATGCGTAGCTACTGTTTCAAACTGCATTATTTCTGAGCCAGTTGGGCTGGGAGAAAGAACCCAGGAGAGAGCTGCTGAGAAGGTGAGGGTGTTTTGCCCCCCCTTCCTAAACTGCTAAACTACTGGGGAGCATTAACTGAGGTTGCTTTGTAAGAGGGCAGAGTTTCAGGGTGAGTAACCTGCTGGAGACTGATGTTTTTGTCTGGGTCTGTTTGGGGTTTTGGTCTGATCTGTTGCTCACTGAGCAAGGTCTGTTTACCTGGGGCTGATTGCAGGCCCCACCTTCTGCCATTGCTGCTGGGAGGTAGGGGCTGTGGGCCTCTGAACTGTAAGACTCCTTCTAGGCAGAGGCACAAATGGAGGGGCTTGTGGCTCTTAGCCTGGGGATCAAGCCTGAGGACTCAGCATCACTCTACATACTTTTGAACCACTAACCAGTTATGAAAGTAGAAAGCCAGCAGGGGAGCGGGGGCTATCCAGTGTTTTGCAGAGAGTGCTACATGGACAATTATCTACCCTCTGGGTGCGTTCAGACGGGGCGTTTCTGCCGGCATAAACGCGATCACACTTACCCTCCATTTTACGGAGCCCTCCGTTGGACGCCCGCTCACACGCTGCGGGTGTCGGCGTTTGTTTTTTTTTTAAGGACACTTTGAGCATGTGCATAGGCAGCCATTCAGAGAATGGCAATTTTTGCGCATGCTCAACCCCCCCCCCATTACATTTAAACTTTAAAGGTAAGGACTTACCTTTAAAGTTTAAAGCCCAACCTGGCCTCCCTGTAGTCCCGGACTCCTCCGGGAAGTTAAAGTAAGGGGTTTTTAAAATTATTTTAACAAACGCACAGGGCGAAGCTTCGCCCGAGCGCATATCGCTTGGTTTAAAAAAAAAATGGCGGGGGAAAGCCAGAAGCCTCAGGCTTCCGACGGAAGTAGCTGGGGAACGGTGGAGAGCGATCAGACGCCGGGGTGCACCGTTGCACTCAGTTTACCACCAGTTGGGACCTAGTGGCAGAGTGCAACGGTTTAAAGGGATTTACAACGGTTAGGGACGGGAGGCAGATGTTCGCTGTGCGAATGCCCGTAAGTACACCGGTTGGAACCGGCACCCTAACCGTTGTAAATCCCCCGTCTGAACGCACCCACTGGGTGGAAATCGTGGGTGTATGCTCACTGCATGGAACTTGTGGCTCTCAGGCAGCAGGTTTGTTCCCTTGAGGATAGAGTTGCTCACCTGGAGAAGCTGAGGCAGAGGGGAAGGTTTGGGAAAGAGACCCTCAGGGACTTACCAGAACAGTCTCACTCCTGTGCTGACAGCTCTTCTGCTATTGTGGAGACTGAGAGTCTCAAGGTCGGAGGGCATCTGTCTGAGGAGGAGAGATGTGATCCCTTAGAAAGGACCCCTTGTTAGCCAAATTGCCTTATTTTTAATAAATATGGGGGAATATGAGTATTAAATGGCAATAGGCATTAAGTATGGGACCATTAACCTGTGTTTATGGGAGTTAGAGTTCCCAGATCCCAGGAACAGATGCTGAGGCTAGATTACTAAAGCAGTGATTTCTTTACTAAAGGTTTTTCAAGCATACATGCAAAAATTAAGCATTCACACACGATACAGGGCTAAGAATACAGATTAGAAAGTATAGAGACATTTGCATGAGCAGGAAATATAATTGGTTGGGTGATACTTTACCTGTCTGATGAGACACTTGGATCATGCAGTGTAAAATAACACAATAAGGGGAAAGGGATCATGTGTCAGTTAACACTGCCATGTTGCTGGAATGTGTGGTGGGGGAAACCACCTTGCTCTGCTGCTAAGCACAATGTTTCACTGTCTGGGTATTATCTACTTTCTTGACCTTGGGATGTTCCAGCTGCTGTCGGCTTTTGCTGGGAACCAACGGCTTTTGCTTTTTGCCCACTTTCTTTCCCCATGCGAGCTTTGCTTATTGGCTTTAGCTTGTAAGGGGGGGTGTTTGATCCTAGTATAATTCAGGGTGCTGACACAAGCAGTACATGTGTCATAGTCATGGTGTACCAATAAACAGAATTCTTCTTATGAAGCGCTGTGCTGTGTGACCTGACTATCAAACCCTGACAGAGTGTCAGGAATCATCTTCCCCTTGACCTGTATCTCTTCTACTAGAGATAAGCAATGGCGAGGAGATCACGCCCCTGGTCATGACCGGGGACACGGTGCCACCCTCCTTTGGGATGCAGCAGCCATCTTGCAAGAACTGCCTCAGGGAGCGGTCGGTGGAGCAAAATCCCAAGTGACTACAACTCTACGAGGCCCGCACTGAGGAAAGTTTAAAGCTGACACCCAGGAAACCTGGCTGCTTACCCCAGGGCCACACCGGGGGAGCCGCTATGACCGGCCCTGGGGGTCGGTGTTCCTGCTGGGGGACAAAGCAGCACAGCAGGAGGCTGAGGAGGCAGAGGGGTTTATGGAGACCCGGCTGGATTTACTCGAGAGGTCTCAGGACAGGATTGTGAAGATGGTGGAGGAATCGCTCCTGAGCCTACCACAGATTGTAGCAGAGGTGGTGCAGCACGAATTTTGACTTCAGCCGCCAGCCCAGCCAGCTCAGCCGCCAGTGCAGGGACCGAGCACCCGACCGTCCACCCCGAGATGGCCACGAGATGCACAGGCCAGCGGAGCTACTGGATGCCACATTTGACAGGATGCCTGAGAAGCTGGCATTCTTTGTGGTGAGAGCGGAAGAGTTCATCATGAATTGGGGACACCTGTTCCCTACCGAGGAACGTCATGTAGACTACATTGCTTCGAAGCTGCAGGATGGGGCCGCTGACTGGTACATGAACCTACACAATTTCGATGGTCCGGAGCTGCAGGGAGTGGATGATTTTATGTGGGCCCTCAGAGCTCAATACAAGGACCCTAATGCCAGTGAGCAGGCACGCACTTACCTGCGCACTTTCAAGCAAGGCAATAAGACAGTGAGAGAATACTCCGAGGAATTCAAGAGGCATGCTGCGAAGATCCAGGGTTGGCTGGATGGGGTGATGCCGGAGCAGTATTGCCTGGGCCTCCACCCCGAGATCTGCGAAACCGTCCTGCACAGTATCCACCCCGTGTCCCTTAATGCATGAATGGAAGAAGCAACAGATGCAGAGAGCCACCTGAGGACCATTCGTATTGACAACACAGCCACCTTGGGGAAGGTGGTTCCAGTGATGACAAGACCCAAGATCCTAAAACCGAAGGAAGGGGTGTGGGAGCAATGCATGAAACAGGGTCTGTGCCTATGATGTGGGGAAGTGGGCCACTTCGCCATCACCTGCCTGGAGTCTGGGACAGGTGCAACAAGGAAGGGGCTGGAAAAGAAATGGACCAACACCCCAGCACGGAAGAACCTCGCCCGACCCAAGACTTAACAAGCCCTTCAAGCTAGCATCCCCGAAGAGGATCTGGGAACGAGTAGTGAGGAGGAGGATGAGCTGGCGGGAAAAGGCCAGGACCTGCTGTGAGTGGCACGGAGAAGCAGGTCACAATCCCAGAGGTGCCCAAAATGGTGAGCAGCTATCCTCCCCTTTTTTTGTGACTGTGACTATAATGAACCCCGAGCTGGGAATCCATGTATGGGTGTGAAGCTTAATAGACTCGGGGTGTAGTCGGGACTTGATCAACCCCTCACTTTTTATGGGACTGGGGGCCAAAGTCATTAAACTCCCAGACCCTATCGTCTTCACCCAAATGGATGGGTCGGCCATGAAAGACTGTTGCAAGTACGAGACTGTGCCATAGCAGATGGGAGTGGGAGGACATTGGGAGGACTGGTTGTTTGTCATCACCTAGGCAGCCCGTTTCCCACTGGTGTTGGTCAGCCCGTGGCTACATGAACACAACCCATACATCCTGTGGGACGAGGGCAAGGTCCAATTTATCTCTCCCAAGTGTCAGGCTCATGAGTGGGCTACAGAGTGGGGATCCCCCCCTCCCGATGAACCGGTGTGAGCATGCCTGGCAAGAGAGAAGTTGGCCGCTATTCCCTCAGAGTACCAGGACATGACCGGGATTTTTGAAGAGGAGGAGGCTGATGAATTACTACCTCACAGACATTCTGATTGTGCCACTAAACTGCTGCCAGGGCACAAATTGCCCAAAGGGAAATTGTATGCAATGAGCCTGGGTGA